CTAGCTATAATGAGCTATTACTTAGGTGGACAAAGTGTTATGTACCCAACAATTGTGCTGAGGGTTTGTCTAAAAGCAAGTGGATAAAATAATCAAATTATATATATATATATATATAAAAATATGTTTTGGTAGTCAACCCAAGCTCAAATGAAATAGGACAGCAAAATGGTTAGGTTATGGTTTATAACCCTTAAATGCATAATGGAATAATAAGTACACATCTAACACAAGATGGACTAAGTAACAGTTGTTTTTACAGTATATGTCAGATAATTTAAACAGGAAAGCAAATTGAGTTAGTTATATACTTGTTATATTAGATGTTTAGACTGCATCTGTTAATTGAAACTTTGGATTGGGAAGCGTAAAACATCAGATGGTTACGTAACAAAGTGAAAGAAAAATTATGAAATAAGAGCGAGTAGTGAGCTAAAGCCAGGAATCTTCTCACTTTTAAAATGTTGTTTTACTGCTCGATTTTAAATTAGACTTTTTATCAAAAATGTTCCTCCGTAAAGCGTCTTTGAGCACCTGATATAGCGCTTGATAATTAAAATGTATTATTATTATTACTTTTAAAGTATTGATTAATAGACAATTCACAGTATCTAGTACAAAAACAAATCACAGCAACAGACTTTACTTACAACAGGCTGGTAAGATGGATATATCTCCCCAAGGTAGAACATGAACATCATGATCCCGAGGAAACCAAACATCTTTTTGCACATGGAGGACCAGGACATAGAGCTGGGAGACGTATCCACACGGTTCCTGGTGAACATGTCGAAATTCCAATGCATCTAAAAATAGACAGAGAACAATCAGTTCTCAAAAGAGCAACCTTAAACTGTAAAAGGGTGTAGTGCCTCTGTACAATCAAGCTGATATGACAACAACCAAAAGTAATTGTGTCTAAACAGATGAATGATAAACTGCACGGAAACATGTTTTTATTTGATTATTTCTAGAACTGTCAAAATATAAAGTTACAATAGTGTTTTCACAGAGTAAAGACCAAATATGCATGTACCTTCTTCAGAAATTATACAATATTATGCAGGTATTTAGTCTCTTAAGGGCAGCAGCAATGCACAATACATACAATTATAGATTATTAATAGGGATATTTAGTTTGTAAACAATTCATGTAGGAGCCATTTCCTTGGTTTATAAAATGTATAATTTTAGAGTACATTGATAGCATGAGATTGTGTTGTGTATATTAATTATTATTTAATTTGAGTGTGTTAGTCCTGCAGGGTCACCACAATATATACTTTGGAAAAACATTTCAAAGTAACAGCTAACATATATTTTGCATTTCTGGGGCACATTTACAGAAGCAACATGCGATTACAAACAGTGGCAGCATCACACTTTACAGAGAACAAAGTGTAAAGGTTCACAATTGTGATGTTTGTTTTGATAAGTGAAACATGTTCATTATTACATATAAACAACATATGTTGCACATTAGGTTTGGCAATTTCGAATAACTTGTAGTCTGTTATACAAGTAGTTTTAGGTCGTATCTGATGGCAATATGTCATCAGTCTCTTACCGGCTCTCCCCAGTTCCTCCTCAGGTCAGGGTGGTCCCACTGGTACCAGGGGTCTCTCTCCTGCTGAGATTTATCTGGTAGCTTTGGATAATCGCCATAGCTACAAAAGCAAAGATGGCAGTTAGTCAACCCACACACTTAATTGCTTTGTTACTGGCGAATTAGGCATTGGGAATGGTTGGTACCGTACACAGAACAATGGATGAGCTGAACAATACTTTTCAATACCGCAGAAAGACAACACTTTTGAACTTCCATGCATGGCTCTTAAAATAAAGCTTACCCCTCGCCTTGGTTGGGATATGGTTTATAGTCCTCCACCCTCATATTGTACTTCTTTGCAGCAGCAGCCTTCGCTTCGGGGGTCAACGGGTAGGAACTAGGCAGATCAGCCTTTGAACCACCAGAGGCTAAAACACAGACGATTACATATGTGAATAAACCAAGTCGAAGTAAAAGGAGTTCGTAAGCTAATAAGAATCAAGAAACAACAATCATTGTGCTGAGAATATCGGTAGCCGCTCAGCTAGCCTAGGCTAACGTTAGCATGTCAAGGTTACGTTGATTCGAGGCTTTATGCTTTAGACTCTGACTCCTGTTTACAGTTAAATGTACTGTTTACAGTTTGACCGAAGTCTGTGACACTACTGACCTGCCCTACATCCCGGCAAAAGGGCTGAAAGGCCAGAACCTTTCCCCCTGGAGAGAGCCTGGGCCCAGCGTCGGAAACCAACACCAGCCATGTTTACGGACTGCTGCTGTCTGACAGACAGAAGTACGCATGCGCTAAATTGAAGTACGGATCGGCACAAGGAAACATTTCAATACATACTAAGCAGCTATTCATTCATCCCTTTAAGTTTCTTTCTAACGCATTGAACTTCTGCGTGAGCCATTTAACCTGGCAACAATATATTAATATCACAAGTGACAACTTAAGGAACTACTAGAAAATGTATTTTATAGTGTTTTATTTATCTTATATGTGTGAGTGGCAGGCACCATCATATCAGAGCAAAGTGTGACAGTGACATGAAAACTCCTCCAGCGGCTGAAGGAAACTTGTTCTCAGAGTGAATGCACTGAAGCCCTGATCCCTCGTTCCTCTTCCCATCAGATCCAGCTCAGGTGCAAGAATGCATTTACTGGGGGATCGTCACTCTGCCGCCAGTGACAAATTGAAGAAAATCAATCAGAGAAGTTCTGCTATGTCCTTCTCCACATTCTGAATGGGGCAATGAAGTTCATACCTGCAGTAAAGGGAAAACATTAGTTACATTATTATAGTTATCTATCGTCTAGCCTAATGAAGGGCTGATTGGGTTTCTTACTCACTGTCTATGACCTATAGCTTTACCTTTTGAAGGGCAATCCATCTGCGGTAATTAGGAATTTTTCAAAATTCCACCGTATATCATTGACTTTTATTGGGGACCAGTAGAATTTCTTCAAATCTCCAATAACAGGGTTTACATATGGCAAAGATTCCTGTTAAGAAGAAGAACAGTATATGTAAATACTGTTTCACTTAAGTGTCATCAGCTAATCGTATTCAGAATCTTTGTAAAACACATAGCCTACCTTTAGATAGGTGAAAAGAGGCTCTTCATTTATCCCATTCACCTCAACCTTTCCAAAGACAGGGAACCTTGGCACAAACCCCCCACCAGGTCTCACGTACTTAAGAACGTTGAGGGTTTCATTATTGACCTCTGAAAAACCAAAGTACAACAAGTTATTACAAATGAAAACCAAGTGTTTATTCACAACTTTGTGTCAAAGAACTTGTATAACGTGTATAAATGAAATAAATTAAGGTAAAAAAATACTGTTAAAATAAAAGTGAGTGAGTAGTATTTAGTAGCATGAAATGGACATCTTTAAGTATTATATGCGTGACAACATTTTCGTTAAAACTATATGACAGTTGGGTAAATGTCATAGACTGTATATACAGTATATGTATATAAATGTACAAAGTTAAAAAAGAGTACCTCATTCCTGTTGATACAGTATAATATACCAGTTAAAAAATGTGTTATTTCTGAGTCTTTTCAAAAGCTTCAGTGTACTCACCAGGTGACTGAAGGCCGAACTGGTTGCTGGGGAATGCCAGTACAGTAAAGTTAAGGTCGCCATACATTTCCATCAGTGCATTCAGTCGGTGGTACTAAGGGAAAAGGACACAAAATCAGAGGCCATTGATCAAAATTAGTGCACAGGTTATGTGTTATGATATTTTGTGATCTGCGTGTAATCAATCAGAGCTCTTGAAGAATATTACCTCTTCTATTGTTGACCCTCAGAAGGTAGCAACATTGATGACGAGAAGCACTTTACCCCTGTAGTTACTGAGCGGAACCTGCTGTCCATCCAGGGTCTCCACAGAGAAATCATAGATTGATTTATTCTCCATGCTTGTACTTTAGCTTGTATATGGGATTGTAGTCAGTCAAGAGTGAGTATTCACCCGGCTGTCCTGTTGGCTCATCTCATTCACTGAAACATAACTCATGGGTCAGCAATTGTTCAGCATGACTGACTTCATTGTTCTCCTGGGCAGAGGTGAGCTGTTCAGCATACGTGTCCCAGGAAAAGAGGCTGATAATGTGGTGACAGCTAATTGGCATTGGGAAGTTAAAAATTAAATATATATGATTTTGGCAGCATCCTTTTCTCTTTAGAACTGACACTTACAGAAAAAGGGGTTCAACATTAAGAGTACGATTGGGCTGTTCGTACATTCATATTCTCATTTGTTGTGCAGCTTTATTATAACTAAAGTTGCTGCAAATTGAAAACTGCAGTGTATTTATATGTATGTTTAATTCTTCCTAAGATTTGGAAGCAGTTATTTAGAATAATAAGCTGCTTATGTTGTTTCGTAAATAAAGGAGTTCCTTAAAATCAACTTGACCAAACATTTATGATTCTAGGAGGTATCCATGAAACATGTTGTAGGAATATTTGTATCAATAGCAAATATATTAATTACTTTAACATGACCATTGACGTAAACCCGGAAATTAAAGCAACTGCTGCGTTTTGTTTGTCGTAAACGCTCAAATCCATGACTATATTGGATCTAAGTAATCTAAATACGAGTTCTCTGGCATTTAATAAAAATACTTGTATTTGTAAACTACCGTACCAAACATGTACTATTTAAAATTATGATGGCAGTTGGTGTTTTAGTTAACAAGTGTGGTGGCGTAAAATGTGACTACTTTGCATTACTTGGAGTCACAATGAAAAATTGGTTATAATGAAGCGATAACAACATATATGTGTGGTTGTATCATTATTTAATATCAAATCCTGGCTTTCATCTTCCTTTAATAGTTCCTTTGTTAGTATCAACAAGGTTTTTGGAAAGATCTTGGGCCATTACTATCCTAATGTAAAGTATTCCGACAGCCCCTGAATGCAGCATTGGGTTTGGGCTACACCTCAAACGCTTTCAAGATGCTAAATGAAAATACGTTATTTTGGCATCTATGTGAAGAACAACAACTGATCACAAACTCTGTATAGCACTGTTGACTCAGAATGGATGAAGAAGCTCAGATGCAAACGTAAGTGCCTTTTAAAAAGAGAGTTGTGTGTTTAAACAGCAGCTGGATTGGTAGCCCCCGGAGAGCTAGCCTCTCAGCTAACAGTGATAGCGACAACAACCACAGGGATGTACCATAGCTGGCTGTTGCTCTCATTTACCTATTTTTGGCAGCATGCTTTGATTATAAATAACCGTGACAAGGATGATTTAACATTACTTATTGCGATGTTATTTTATCGTAATTATTCTTAATTTAGTACACGTTTATTAACATTTATGTGTGGTTAATATGAGTGTTGTGAGCGTTGCATGCAGTGTCAAAGTTTAGCTGTAAAGCACGGTTTGCATTTCTTCAGCAGATGCCATATTTTGGACTTGCCCTGGGAGGATGTTCTTGTTCCACATATTTTATGCTTTCTGCCACTGCAACACCTTGTGAGCCTGCAGAGGGTGAGCAGGCAGTTCCACAGCCTCATCCAGGTGTATCTGGCCAACTGCAGGACTTTTGATCTGTCCTCGGTAAGTCCTGAGATTTTTACAGTAAATATACATTGAGGAGCATGTTGTGGAAGTCTAATTCTATACATAATGCGAAGCAGAAATTGTAAATTTTACTTAAGTTTTGTTTACAACTTTAATTATTGTTTACTTTTTCTTTTACATATTAAAAATATGAATACACAAACAAAATCCACTAATGTATTACGATATATTATTACATTTTAAGCTACTGTTCGCAGTATATCAAGTAATTAAACTCTCAAACTTTAAAACTGGATGAACAAAATAATATATAATAATAAATAAGTATATTCTGGAAATATAATATATAAAGTTCCTCTGCAGTTCTGCGTGGTCAGTACTTTTGGTACTTTTAAGTATATGTTGTTGCCGATGCTTTTGTACTTCTACTTAACTAAGAGTTTTGAAAGCAGGGCTTTTACTTCAGAGTATTTCTACACTGTGGTATTAGCAGTTATGCTATTGTATATTATAAGTAAAATATGTGAATACTTCTTCCACCAATGCTCTGTTGTGATGTTTTCAGATTGGACCATCAGTTCCCAAGGAAGCGTTTTGCTCCATGTTAAAGGACAACAAAGTCCTCCACAGCCTGTGTCTTTCCAGTTGTTCTGATTGGGTGACAGACAAGGAGCTGCTGCCAGTTATCGGCCAGAACCAGCACCTGCAGAGAGTGGACATGAGCAGCTGTGTTGGTCTCACCCGTCACTCCCTGGTGGCTGTGTCCTTGAGCTGCATGCACCTCCTGCACCTCGGCCTGGCGCACTGCGAGTGGGTGGACAGCCTGTCGCTGCGCAGCCTGGCGGACCACTGCGGGGGTCTGCAGTCGATCAACATCACGGCCTGCCGCCAGCTCAAGGACGACGCCATCTGCTACATGGCCAAGAAGTGCTTGAAGTTGAGGTCTTTATCCCTGGCAGTCAACGCCAATGTCACTGACGAGTCGGTGGAGGAGGTGGCCAAAAACTGCAGGGGCCTGGAGCAGCTGGACCTGACAGGCTGCCTGCGGGTCAGGAACCAGTCCATCAGGTATATCATCTCTTATTTTCAAGTGTAATCCAGATTTGTGCCATCCCTGCCCACACTGTTACATGCACCACCTCTCTTGATCCTCTGCATGCTGTGCTCACAGGACTCTTGCCGAGTACTGCCCGAAGCTGCAGTCCCTGAAGGTGAATCACTGTCACAATGTGACAGAGTCCAGCCTGGACCCTCTACGGAAGCGCAATGTAGTGATAGATGTTGAGCCGCCCCTACAGAGGGCTCTGGTGCTTCTTCAGGATGTGCTGGGGTTTGCTCCCTTTATCAATCTCCAGATATAGGCAAAGGGCCATCTATCCGTCCAACACAGGTAGGTAATATCAGCAGTATATCTACTGTATGAGTTTGTGACATGTTCACATCCAAGACTGAGTTAGAACTCTCCCACAATGTATTTATAACGAGTCTATTTGTAGCAGATACTGGTGGTGATCGCATTTGCCTTGTTTCAGGTGTCTTCATCAAAGCAGCCGCTCTCAGCTGCTTCACATGTGCACGTGAGTTGTTCTAAGAAACGTCAAGATGTTTTACACTCAAGTTTAAAAATAATGTTGACAAAGAATCTCAGTGGAATGTGATCAAAGATGCATATTGAGGATGAAGCTGAAAATAAGTCTACCTTTGAAAAGACTGAAGAAAGCCATGTACTTTTAAGAATTGATGTCTCACGTCCAAAAGATGTCACTGCACTTTCATTTAGTGTTTTCATAATGTGGCTTAATAGAGAAGCAGATAGTAAAGTGAATTGTTTTGTTGTTTTTTAACCAAAGTTTACTTTTATGTTTCATTTAGGAGCATTACAAATGTTTGGGTTTAATTAAACATTTCATTTTGCATGTTTATGACGGTTTAAAGGATAAATTCACCCAAATCACGCAGAAAACATTTTCTCACTTACGATTTTATGTGTCCAGGTTTTTATTATCTGCACCACTGAGTCTTCTGCTTTTACCACAATACAGTGAAGATAAATGCAATGTTGTTAGTGGTGCTGTCTAGTGTCTTCCAGAAAAAAACAATCCAGAGACTTCTCTGTGAACCCTTTTTAACTGTTTCCTAATGCAAACTTTGTTGCTCTCAGTAACACCAAAACTATCTGCATGTCTAAATGCAGAGATTTGTGAGAGAAATGTTTTCAAAATGTGGTGATGCGGGTGAAGTACCCCTTAAAACCATACCGTTAATCAACCCATTTCTTTTTTTTTTAATTAAGTATGGGTTTTTATTAAGAAACATTCCCGTTTAACACTTGAAATTCATTTTGTAAAAAGTACCTAAATTGCTGTTGCCTAACAAGGCACATGGAGGATGTAAGAACTATTAAATTCCAAAATATCATCAGAATGGACTGTTTTTATTTTACTACTATATAAATCTTCTTCAGTTTAACATCTGGATGCACAATCCATCCGTTTCTCCTATAATGTCGAATCCAACACCTCAAAGAACAAATCTAAAACCAATGCTCTCTTTTGTTTTCAAATTTAGAATAGCTTTTTTTTAAGGAAACATGTGGGCAGAGCCTTGTGTTGCTTACAACTACCAACTCTACTGATTTAATGTAACAAATAAAATAAAACATAGACTTATATAATCACATTTATCAAGAGAGGTGTACTGTGGCTCCCTTTACAACACCTGTTAGGATTTGTCCAAGTAAGTGTTGTTTCTCAAAGACCAACATTTTTTTTTTTAGCAATGATTTTGTGTTTTCAACAAGAAAATAGTGACTAATGAGTCCTACTTTTTTAATTTGAGCTTTCTTAATAGTTGAAAACGAAAAAAAATGGCCAATAACTTTTAACTTTCTCCTGTAATTTTTTTTTAATTTCAAGTGTAAGAGGTTACTGTCAAAACATTGCATTGGTGGAGCTAAAGATGGCTCTTTATCTGTGTTGTGACTCAAAGTGACACAAGGTGGCAGCAATGAGTCAGGAAATGTGTCTATTTTAATTCTGTTTGAGAGGTTGCATGACTTCAACACTACATCCAAGAAAAGTAGTAGTTTACAATGTTAAATAGGTCCGAGCACAGTATCACGTGTGTATAAACATACTTTGAATGTCTTTTTCTAATATTTAAAGAAGAAGTGTTCAAGACTAATGTTTGATGGTTTGGTGGATTGTGAATATAAACAGCTTTACGATCGTTTAACACCTGATGCAGTGAATGCACAATAAGAATGAATGCTTCCCCTTGTTAAAAATCCACGGTACAGTTTCCTCTGGTGGTCCGATTGGCAGGCTATTGTAACTCTCCTCTGCGACAGCACAACAGGTCTATTTTCCACTTGATGGCATGGTTTACCCCATCTGCTGCGTGCTGTCCACAAAGCTGCGTTTGCACCAACAGAGAGTTTTGTTTGGAGGGCTTCAGGGATCGACCAGCGTCCTTCTGTTAGCTGTGCTCATCATCATATTGTACCGCTGTGCCTCCGAGGACACATCACAGTGTCATTAGTTATAAATTCAATCTTGAAATTTCAATTCTTAAAGCATATCATGTAGTAAACACTCATATAAACAAAAATGAGCAAGTTTTTCCTCTCATTCTTAAGTGTCGTTAGCATCATGACCTCTTTTAAATAATACGTGATGCAAGATAGATATTATCCTTGTAGCATAATGCATGGAGAATTTCAATTTACTGTAAGATAGGCTTTTTGAAATAGACAAATAACGGCTTTCATCTTTATTAATTAGAATAAATAACATCTTCAGTGTGCAGTGGCTGGCCCTGTTGCTGCTCAGCAGTCAGCGGGTTAAAAACGTTTCAGACTCCATTCATCATATAGGACCTCAATTAGCATTGATCTGCAGGGGGGAAAGAAACATTGCTGCGTTATTATATACCGTGGAGCAATTTCTGTTCCAGTGATTGAGTGTATGGGGGGATTTCTCAAACATAGCCCGCCTTATATATTTTGTCTTCCTGTCAATAATCTGGCACTTGTCTAAATTATTGATCAATAGCAACTGATCATTTTATACCCAGGCACAACAATGAAGTTGGTCCTTTTTTTTATTCTGCATGCCGTTTTAGCTCCCAGCTTGTGAAATATACTGTTCTTATTAAAACAAAGAATAAATCTGAGTTTAATCTCTGGCTGCTTTTAAAGTCCTCTCTGACAGAATAAGTTACTGATGCAGTGCAGAGGCATCGTGAGAGTCACTCATGTGTGTTGTGGCGGCTGGTTCACATTAAAAACATAGCAATCCTTTTTAAAAACAAAGATTTATCATGGTAGACATTTTGATTTCAACGAGTAGGGAAATGTACAATAACATTATCTGCAATGGCTGTTTTAAGTGTCCTAGATAGGGCTGTGGGAAAGTTTTTCAGATGGGAAAGGGGCTAGATTCTTTATTTTCATTTATAAAAGTAATTCCCTGCCCTGCATTATTAATATTTTATGTGGAACCTATTATGGTTTGTGCTAACAAATAAAACTGTAAACAATTACAACTTTTACATTTTTTGGAAGTTGCTTTCCAAATAAATATGGTTGTCTCTCTTTTATTAATATTATAGCAGCATTATGTCAATATTGTGTTTCTAAAGCATGTTTTCCTTCTTTAAAATAGCTATTGGCCTTATATGTACAGGTCAACTACCACTTGTCGTCCGTCACAAAGCATCACAGTCAAACAAGAGACTTCAATGTCAATTTTACCTCAGGCAAACTGTAAATAGAATCTAATTTAGGTTGGAAACCAAAGAAATTAATGAATTTTTGGGAGCAATTTTCATGTTTTCATTAGCCAACTGAATAATAAAGAATTATCCAACACTTTTAAGTTATCTATATTAATGTTATCTATATTAATTTAACTCCAGAATGTGTAAAAACAGATCCTGTTAAAGAAACTAATCAGAAATCAGTTTAGGCCACCTTTACTTAATTAAAAGGAGTTCATATAAGGTGGAGAGAGAATTACCGTAGCTTCAGATGGGCCCAAAACTGTGTCAGAGATTCTGTTCATTTTCATATTTTTAATTAACAGACTTCACCTCCCGTCTTCCATCAGTGCATGATTCTTTCTTTCATTTATTTGATGTAGTTTATCTCCTCCAACCATTCATACACAACCTTATTGGATCCTGCGACTTAGGGATCCGTCCTTTGGCCACCAGAGAAGCATAACTAATGACAACATTACAGTGGTTTTGTGAGCGTGGCCATCAAAATGTCGATCAACCAAGCAAGAAATAATGTTGGGTTTTAACATCAGCATGAATAAACATGGTCTCAATTTAGGAAGATTTTGAAGTTGTTGATTAACACAAGAACAATCTGCCTCTTCAGGGTTCATATGTGTGTCATGGATGTGAGGCTTTAATGAAAAAAAAACACCGTGGTGATTCAGGGCAGGAGCAGTTGTGTTCTCTGAGTGAATGACATTGCCACACAAGACGTCTTCAGGGTGCTGTCTAATTGAAGCGACATTTGAAGCTTTTCTAGGACTCATAACTGTCAGATCCATTAGCATCTTCCTAATTACCACTGGCCCCACACCGGACAGGAAACACACGGTCAGCTAGCTCTGGCCCCGCTAGTTACTCACATAGTTTATGAATGAATAGAATCCAGTGACTCACAACTATTCAATGCTTTGGTGAAGAATGTGTTGGCCCAGTTCTTATTTGGGAAAATAAACATTTCTGTGTTCTCATGATATTTGACATATTTTCCATAATTTGAGATTGACAATAGTTACTCAAATTATTTTTTGGACAGTTTTGTCAGTTGGCAATCTCCCTCATGCAGAAGCCGTTAATGAATTGTTTAGTTGGTCAAGAGAACCTTGAGTAAAGTATTATATTGTGGAATATCACAGACCAAGCCTGTGAAGTGACTATAGTATAATTTATTCAGATGTATTAGAGGTAAATCTTGGGATATCCCGTAAATAATTAAGTAAAATAATGTACATTCTAAAAAGCTAATAATTCACTTCGAACTTTAAACGTTTTCCACCACTTCCTCAGTATTTATTCCAGCTTTTGAGGATGTGACCTTCCTCCCGCCAGTGTCACTCTCTGACCTCAAGCCTTCTGACACCCAGGCTTGAGTCCAGCCCAATCCTCAACACTTAGAGGCCACGTTTCTGTATCTATACGCTCAATTTGCCTGCAATATAAACACACTGATTTACCCAATAGAGAATATGTATACAATAAGCGTGACGAGGATCCGTCCTGGCAGGAGCATTTTGCCCTCTGACTGATCTGGGCTGCTAAATTGTGAGTAACTGTGTTGAACTTGTGTCCTCCAGCCAGCAGAGATCAGAGTTCAGCGTTCTGCCGTAATCACAGATCACATCTTGTTATGCTTAGTGGACACTGAGGGATGCTGGAGGCTGTCTCATTTACTTTGTACGGAGATTCAAATCTGATTAAGGACAAAGAGGGAGAACTCTGAATTCACTGCACAGTGCTTGGAGACATTGTGCTCCTTACTGGCACATTTTTCATCATAGAATATAGAGGGAATGTGTGAATATGATTATTTTGGGATATAGTTTGAAGCCATGGATATATGCATTTCGCAAAAGTTCCCTCCTTTGTCTCATTTCTTCTCAGCTGCTTCACAGTCCAGAACACGAGGAAGCTCCTATTTGACAAACGGAGAACAAACAGCAAAATATGTGTTTAGTACATGTCTCGGCCCGTAGATTAATGACATTAACGAAGTTTCCATTAGCACAGCGATCGGGGGAAGACAGAGGCGTCCATGCGTAAATCCACATGACTGAATCACTGATAAGAGAAAATGAAACACATCTCTATGGGCCAAGAGGGGCCAGGAAACGCCACTCCAAATTAGCCCGCGGCCCAATTTGTTGTTACTTCATTAACCGACCAGCATCTGTAGAGCAGGGGAGGGAAGTTGTGACCCATCCTTTGCCTAAAAAAAATCTTCATCTGCCTTCACTGGGCCTTTTTGAAAAAGAGGTTCCCTTTGCAGAAAGGCAGCTGGGAGAGGATCAGCATGGGACAGGAGCTTCCCCAGGCAGTGTTGTGCTCAAGAAGAGTTTCTTCCCCATCATAGAATAATATGTAGCATGTCGATGTGCTGCAAGACAGTTTCATTTAGCTCAGGTCAACATGTGAGAGCTAAATCCTCATTTTCTTTTCTCCCAACCTGATGATTTGTTGCATAAGCTCAATGCTGATATTTCCTCTTTGCAGTCCATTGTGTCATGGCTCATTCAGTAGTTATCAGATGACCTTAAGTTTTCATATCTTTACCCTTTTCAGAGTATTTTCGAGTCCTTGGAGTATAGAGTTTCAGATCATGGAAGATTAATTAAGGCCTGTGTTGCTGCCGAAAGCAT